GGGGGCCCTTTGCAAGCTGCAACTGCCAGGGCTAGGGGGTCCCTTTGCAAGCTGCAACTGCCATGGCTAGGGGGTCCCTTTGCAAGCTGCAACTGCCAGGGCTAGGGGGTCCCTTTGCAAGCTGCAAATGCCACGGCTGGGGTGTCTCTTGCATGCTGCAAGTGCAAGGAGGGAGGCTTTGCAAGCTGCAAACCTAGGGAGGGGAGCTAGTGGAGAGGAAGAGAGGACCTTTTGCAAGCTGCAAATCCAAGGATGGTGGGGCCCCATGGGGGGTTCCTTTGCTAGCTGCACATTCAAGGCAGGGGGGTGGTCCCTTTGCAAACTGCACATTCAGCACAAAGGGGGATTCTGGAGCGAGGGAGTGAGTGGCTGGAGCTGGGGGAGTAACGAGCCTTAGGCAGGGAGGCAGCGAGGGGGCAGCGCTGCCGCTCGTCCAGGTTTGCTGCTTTCCGAAGGAGCTGGTGCCTTGCAAGGGGGGTGGGCTCTGCCGAAGGGGCTGCAATGCAGGGGGGCGTCCCCATGCACCCCAGCTGCGCTGCCCGCAATGCCATGCTCTGCCCACAGCCCTCTCGCACCTGCTGGCCGTCACCGTGGTGGCAGGGCTGCTGGGCGCCCTGGTCTGCGCCGCCGCCGTCGCCGTCGCCGCCACCAAGCTCTGGCCCAGGTGACGGGGCTGTGGCCTTGGGCAGGGGGCTGGGGGCGGCCCCGAGGTGGGTGCCACCTTTCAGCCCCAAACGCCCCTTGTCCCACCCAGGCTGAGGAAGCTCCGGGCGCTGCCAGGGGCTGAGGACACCCTGGAGATGTGCAGCAAGCGGGAGCAGGTGCAGGTGGGACATGCTGGGTGACAGGACCCTTTCCCGAGCACCGGGGAGATGTCGGGTCCTGCCAGTCCCAGGCTGGCCCTGGCGCTCGATGCAGCTCCAGGGCACAGGGACAATCCAGGACCACTTGGTCCTGCAGCTCCCATGGCTCTGCTGACCCCATGGTCCTTTTCCAGGCGGATGGAGCCTCTTAGACAGACGTTTATGTGGCCCAGGCGCTGGCCCTGCGCAGACCCCTCTTGCCTGGCTGCATCCCGGCCACGGCTACAGATTCCCAGCCCCAGCTGTGGATTCGCAGGCCTGGAGATGGACCCGATATGGAGAGGGACTCACCTGGGGCCTGGGCTGGTCTGGGGAGCCCAGCTGCAGTGTCCCTCTGCACCCTGCTCTTCTCAGCCTGTCCTCCTGTCCGTGTTGTGCCTCTCCAGCCTCCTCCTCCCCATGGATGCGGTTCTCACTCCGGCAGGGTCTCCGGTGCCGGGACAGTGCGTGGTGCCCCACAGGTGCTGGATCCCAGGATCTGTGACTGCCCGGAGCCCCTGCCAGGCCCAGGGGACTCTTGCTGGGCTGGTGGCGAGAGTGACACCGCGATGCCTCCGTGTGCCTGGAATAAACCCGGAGCAGCAAGCGGTGTGATTGTGTCCAGAGGGCCTCGGAAGGGGTCTTGGCCTCCCCTGGGTGGGTCCTATCCAATTTGCGGCTCAAGGAACATTCGATCCTCAGCGTCAGCCGGGGGATCAGTCCAGGATCATCCTGTTTCCCCCACAGGGCTGCAGGGATGAGCGCACGCTGCCCTCGGCTCGCTTGTCCCACTCTGTTCTCAATGGGGTCCTCAAAAGGCTCTGGGGCATGAGTTCAGCCTGCAGGACACAGGACCAGGATGGGATGGGATGGCGTGGGACAGGATGGGAGGGTAAAGCCGTCCTCCCTGTGCCCAGCCCATGGGCTGCTTCCTGCACGGCCCCTGCATCCG